CGCGCGCCGCTCTCTCTCTCTCTCTCTCTCTCTCTCTCTCTCTCTCTCTCTCCCCAGGTTTTCAGCTTCTGAGTCTTCCCTGGGTTCCCATACCGCTCCATTCCGCCACCGTGACCTCCTCCAAGGTGCACTCCCTCGCGTTTTATCCCCTTTTCATCTTAATAATTGAGACGTAAGATATCGTAACTGGATTCTTTGAGATGGCGTATTCTTTCGCGACGCCACAGAAACGGTCTCCGGTTTCGACGAAGGACGAGCGGGATGACTTCAATTTCGCCGATGATTAAATTAAATGACAATTTTCACTCGCTTTCTTCGAAATGTCTGAACAACGTTTAACTCGGTCAAACGGTCACGGTTTCACTAACCGTCTTATTCCTTAGATGACGTTTAAATTCTCGGTAGTTTAAATGGAATCGAAATATTTAAATGACTCGAATGTTTAAAATAGGAGCGATGTACATGTGACATGCATTCAAATTTAAACCGCATGCAAATTGCGCATGTAATCAGCGTGTGCTATATCATAAGAACGCTTTAAATCGATTTGTCGCAGCGCTTGTAATTCTTGTTATCTTTAGTATGGTAACAAAGATAAATTTGTAAAACAAAACTGTCCATCTGTAAACTAAGCTTTACTGCTGCAGCCGGCATTCAATTAATTTAAATATAAACTCGACAAATAAAAAAACATAGAAAAATGAAATATATAGAAAAAAAATAGAACTCCATGTAAATAGAAACATGTTTTTTTATTAAATATCTCAAGTTATGCTTATAATTGTCATGCTTATAAAGGTCTATTATAAGATCTATTAATCGGTGGGAATAAGAACTCGATTTCTAATCTTTTGGCATGAAAATATAATCCTTATTTAATCTTGTTCGCTCTCTTGAACTTTTTGTAGTCATTCTTGATGAAATCAGCGACTCTTTCGCCGATCATATTGACTGGAGCTACAGGATTGCCCGAAATCATCTAGGAAAGAAAAATCGATTAATCGAACTTAAAAGATAAAGGATATTAACAAAAAAAAGATTAAGAAAAGTAAAAAAATTATTAATTAAAGAATAAGAGATATTAATTGCAATTTTTTCCTAAGCTATGCTGCACATCGAAGAATTTCGTCAAAATTCTTTGTACACTTAGCGCAATGTTTGATTACTTTTTAAACGTGAATTAATAAGAATAAACAATATATCAATTGGCCGCGATGTACTAATTAAAATTGGAAAAAATTTAGCTGCTTACTCTCGGCATAATAGACGCATCGGCCACTCTTAGGCCACTTATTCCGTAAACTTTCAGAGTTGGGTCAACGACAGCCATAGGGTCTGAGCAAGGGCCCATTTTGCAAGTGCCGGCTTGATGATTCTCGGGCCTGGTGTTGTATCGGAACTGGCAGTCCCAATACTCATAAGTCATCTCTCCATCTTTCTTGTATTGTTCGCATTCCGGAATGTACTCGACTATCATCCTCAAACCGTGCTTTTGCATCGCTTTTGTCTTCGACAGTTTTAAGATTTGTTGAACGCCCTGATAAAGAATTGCTCGATCTTGCGGATGCGCCAGATCGTTGCTCCAAATAATCGGATGCTCCAAAGGATCTTTGCAGGCGAGCGTCAATCGACCTGAAATTCATCAAATCAATTCTTTAATATGTATTCATCAATAGTACATCAATATATATATTTAAATTTAACTATTACAGAGAATAGAATCTTTGTTCCTTTCTTAGAGAAAAGTACATATTTTAACTCAATTGTTTTTGGATACTTTTGGACACTTATTCCGTTGAAGTGTATAATTGTAATCGATTTTCTTCTAATTCGATTACAAACATTATATTATGGAGTGAATTAATCGAGCGAATGGGATAAAATTAAAGAGGATTTAATTGCCAAAGTAGACGTTATATAATTTCGTCGAAAAACACTGAGAAAAAGCATTAACAGCATTGTTTTAAAATGAATACGCGATGTATTTTTATCTATTTCGCCAGAATATTATCGGTATTCTTCTATGCTAATATCCTGTATCTGGAGCGAGACGTAAATTATATAATTGTCAACTTACCTCTACTTAACGTATGAAGATTTACGGCTGTAAATCTAACTGTCTGTTTGTTATCGTACGTTTCCAAGTCCGCAATTCTGCCACCAGTGTTGCAAATGGCTTGGTAGCCGGCGAAGAAGATCTGAATGTCCGGATCATCCGCGGTAGTGTAGTTGGATGCCAGAATCCCGGTGACCTGAGCCAAACCCGTGGACGACATCGGGCCAGTTTGATTGTACAAATACATTTCGGCATTGTCCATATTCAGCAAATTCTCATTTTCCTGATTGAGAGTGAAATCTAGGCCGAACGACACGTGGTTGTGAAGATTTTCGCCGACTCCCGGTAGATCGACAACTGTGCGAATCCCTACGGAATCCAGGTGACTCTTCGGCCCGATGCCCGACAGGAGCAGAAGTTGAGGTGAATTTATGGTGCCGGCCGAGAGGATCACCTCCTTCCTCGCCTTTACGGTGTACTGTCGGTTGCCATTCTGCAAATAGAATACACATCAGGACTCAGAGACAGACCATTGGGTATTTCTTACAGATCACAAAATCGCGCCTGAAAGAATTCGAGAAGTACGATGGAGCAGTTTACCATAATGAGCGTGATTCCCTCAGCTGTCACTTTTGATAGAATTTTTTTCGTAATGACCTTCGTCGCCGTCGCGTTCAGAGCTACGTGCAAGTTTTTGCGACTTCTGTGCGGCCATAAATAGGCCCTGGCTGCGCTACGTCTGACGCCGCTTTCGCTGATCGTTTGCGCCACGGTGAATCCTGTGATATTTTGACCTACTAAGTCCTCGCTGATTCCCAAACTTGCCTCCTCTGCCGCTGTCATTATGTCCCAAGCGAATTGCGGTTGCCAGGGGAATCTATTAATGAAAGCAATCAGAGAGTTTAATTCGTATGTGTAGATCAATTAAAGCAACGGAGGGAAACTATGGAGTTAGAGGTATTCACAATGTAATGTAGTTTTACATGCATAGATCCTGCTTAATGAATGCCAAATCAACCACACTAATAGGGATGAACGCGATACCGGAATACTTTTCAACGACAAAGTTAATGCTCTAACGTAACTAACTGATAACTGATTATGTAACAGACATCAAAGGACAATTGTAAATTGATTATGATGCAATCGTAATCGGTTACATTTTAGAAAAGTTTATTATCGCGGTATTAAAATAAAAAAAAATGAATTATGCATTATGAACATTTAAAGACCGATAAATGATTTTAACATAAAAATGTAATATATAAAATGTATATGGTTTATACATATTTTCAATGTTATGTTATTAAAAACATTTATCAGTTTAAATAATTATATACTTGAACAAAAAATGACCTTGCCATTTTATCTAATTATTATAAGTATTACTACGTAACCTTAGTAATCGAACTAGATAAAGACAAGTCCTGAAAAATCGAAAGCTTCCAGGTACGAACTTTAGCTAAAGTAATATTTTTTGCAATAAGATTTATTTTTATAGGGCGATTTTTTATCGATATTATTTATTTGATTATCAAAGTATAAGGAAATAAAAATATATTTTTGGTTTTGACCAACTGTGTCGTTATTGATAACGACTAATGCAGTCAGTAGCAAACAAAACTTCTATTGAATTTTATATATATATATATATATATATATATATATATATACACACACACACACACACACACACA